ATCTCGCCATATATTCCAGACCACAGTCCTTAGGCCAGGTTAGTCTTTCCTAACCCCAGCAGGGTCCTTATTCAGTTATTTCTTTTGGGGTCATAACAGAGTTCGTTCCATGATCGTGCTCTTAACTTATTATACTTATGGTGCTTAGCTTGTCTCCTTTCGATGCCAGGGTAGCTCACAGCTTGCTCTGGGCCCATCCAGTTCTTTCGTCGAGACCCTCCTTTTGGAGTGGTAGGAACTAAGGCTTAAGTCAAGTAAATATGGATGCCCAGGAGTAAATATTATTTTGGAGTCAGTTAACCCCCATGTAACAAAGCATAGCATGAACTGTCTACCTGTATCTCTACAAAAAGGACATTGCTAAATAAACTATACAAATGACATAAAGGAAAGAGAAAAACAATATAGGATTATTATATTGGCCTGATGGAATTGGGTGTGCCTCAGGGGCACTGTTGTGGGAGTAGCTCAATAAACTTTAAGCTCCCTGTGGAGGAGCAAGGACAACCCAGTGTTATCCAACAGCAGATTTTAATACCAAAAGTCATCCCAGATCATCATAATATACAGAATGAGGAAAAGTTTTGAAAAACTGCCGGAATGACCAAAAAGGCGGGAGGCACAATGTGTGCTGGACTGACTCCTGTGCATCGACTACCGTGGCTGCCCCCAGCCTCCCATTGCGTGCCCTGCCTGGCCGGCCCCGTCAGGGGAGGGCGTCTGTGGGGCCACTGTCCTGCTGCCCCGCCCCACCCCCACCCCCCAGCTCTTGCAGCCCTCCAGACCCTCCCAGCCCCTTCTTTCCGAGAGCCAGTGAGGTGCACCCTGACGGCTGCCCCACAGCCCTCCTTTCTGGCCTGTCACGACACTCTTCTCAGTTTGCAGGACATTATGGTGTCCACTGGCATTGACTGTTGTCCTGGGAACTAGTTGCATCCTGAGCAAAGCCCCCTTTTATGGGGGCGGGGATTTCAGAGGAGAGAGGGGAGGTGGGGCACGGCTAAATCCCTCAGTCAGAAAGAGCCGAGCTAGGACCTGCATTCAGGGCTCTGACTTCTGGTCAGGCTCTAACTTTTCATTTTCCTTTTTTGGGGACTCCGTGGGCGTGGGGGGTGAGGGTGGGCTTTTGCCCCCCCCCCCAGTGGTGCTTAGGGATCATTCCTGGTGGTGCTTCGGGACCACATGTGGTGTGGGGATTGAATGGGGATCTGTGTCAACCGTCTTAACCCCTGTAATGATCTCACTGATCTCCGTTTACTTTTTAAAAAGACTTTCCTGCCTGTGTCCTTTCCCCAAGGAGACTTGGGAGATAGGAACTGGCTGAGGCCAAGATCCTTTTCTTGGCCTGTGGTGGAGTCCAGGGCCAGTGGAAGGGCTCTACCAGCAGAACATGCTTTCCCTCTGCCCACTCACTGCCCAGCACTTGACTCTGTGTGTGTGTGTGTGTGGTTGGGGGGAGATAAGGCACTTGTAGATAGGAAAAAAAACAAGTCTATTTTCCCCTCAACTTTCAGTTTTATGGTTTATTTATTTATTTTGGGGGGTAGGAGGACAGGCAGGAGATGTGGCACCTGTCACAGGAAGAGCCATCGCTTTCCCCCAAAGCTCCGTGACTAGCACCGAAATGATGGAGAGGAAATGTTGATGGCAGAAGGGTTAGCCAGGGAGGGGCTTAGGGGAGGGTCTTGCTGCTGTCTGGCCAGTGGGGATAGCGGGGCCCCTCTCCTCTCTCCTGTGCCCGCCCAGGTTCTCTAGGGAAAGGAAGGGGAGGCGGAGCGAACTGACGTTTAGGGACGGCTCACTTGGCCCACACCTTGTGCCTCGTATTTGAGAAGCTTTGCTCCCTGTGCTGCTTGATTTTAGAACATCTATGCCCGGTGGGCTGATGTTTCCATTTGAACAGACATAACGCTGAGGTTCAGCTAAGTGCAGGGGCTTGCTTGGGTTCCTGCTAATGCGGGGACCAGTGTCTGGTGGGCTCTGGCCCACTTGGCCTTGATGTGGAGTGAGCATCAAGGAGTCAGCTTCTGTGCTGACTCTCCATGGTGCCAGTCAGCAGTACAATAATAAGCGGACACTGACAACACAGGGAGATATATTATCGGGAGTAAATATTTTTTTGTAGCTTTCAAACACAGGCAAAAATAATAATTCCATTAGTAGGGGAAAAATTGGACCATACTGTTGAGTATAAGTTTTATTGCTACCGTAACTATAAAAATACAAACATGATGAATGGAAAGTTGGAACATTTACTGGGAATAGATTTTATTAGCATAACTGAAACACAAATAGCACATGAAACTGGACTGGTGAAAGTTGGAGTCAGCCTCCTGCCAGTGCGTGGTGACTGACCAGAAAGCACAGTGGTTTCTTCTGCCTGGTTGGAGTAGGGGGTGGCGAGTGAGGGTGGGTCACGGAGGGAGCCGTTTGCTCCAGGCAGCTCTGGAGCACAAGGGTTAAAGCGTTTATGAGTGGCTCATGCAGAGACTTGGAATGTCCTGGGCCCAGGGCTGGGAAAGGAGACTTCTAGGCCAGAGTTCTTGAGGTGACAGAAAGGGTTGCAGTTCTGAGTTCCTGAGGCAGCTGAGCAGGAAGTGAGCCGAGGGTGTGGGGTCCAGGCCGTTTCTTGGGGTGATTGGTGGTAGTGACTGGTGGGTGATCTCTTCTCCATTCAGGCGCCCCCAGAGGGTAGGATGTGCCTCTCTCAGCACCTTAGCAGGCCGGCGCCCTACCCGGGGTACCACAGGTTGGCACGCCACACACAGATGTGACAGAACGGGACACAGCCCGGGCCTCCTCGTGTGAGCGCCGTGGTTCTTAGAGGGCCTCGTCTCGTTTTTCAAGTGGAGCCGCTGAGACGTGAGGGGTCATTTATCCAGTTGCGCTAGAGGACACAGCAGAGTGGGGACTCGCATCTCTTCAGCTCTGGGGGTTTCGTGTTCTTCCTTTCCAGTTGTTCACATTCCATTGGAATGACATCATGACACGGAGGCCTTTGGAGAGCTAATTGGCGCCAGGGAACGCCTGTGAATCAAAGTCTTTGTGTGCAGGCAGCTCCTGGTTGAGGCAGGAGGCAAGTCTGGGGGTCTTGACTTAGCTCTCCATTGTTCTTGGTCAGAGAGTCACGTGGCTGGGCAAGTGTCTGCTGACATGGCTCTTTTGTGGAGAGATTTTACGGACCCGTCCAAAGCAGGGCGCGGGGGACTGGTGGAGACTAGGTTTGTTCGGTTGCAGTTTTGGGGTTTATTTTTGTTTTGGGGCCACACCCAGCGGGGCTCAGGCCTAACTCCTGGCTTTATGCTCAGGAATCACTGCTGGCAGGCCCGGGAGCCCCTCTGAGGTACGGGGGATTGAACCCGGGCGGGCCACATGCAAGGCCAGTGCCCTGCCTGCTGTGCTAGCTCTCTGCCCGCTGCTGCATTTCCTCCCTAGAACCAGCTTTAGGGGGAGCTATTTCCTGCATTATTCTGCTGCTGGAAACCTGCAGATATTTGCGAAACTGGATGAGAACCGCCTCGAGTGTATTGCCCACAGATTCACATGTGACCCTCCTTTTCTTCAGGGGTCAAGGAATAAGAATGAAAGGCTGATTGTGACTGACTGTGCTGTGCCATCCCAGTCATTTCCTGTCCCGCTGTCTGTGCCCCAGCAGGGGGGAAACTGCATCTTAAGCTAGAGAAAGGTGGGGGGCGGGTGCTGGCCTGGCCGCTTCTCCCCCTGCCCGCAGTAGGAGCCGGTGCTCACAGAGAAATCCCGCTGTGTTTTACATGCCTTTCTCTTCCCATGAGCAGGCAGTGAAGCAGGCAAGCCCGTGTTCCCTCAGGTATTTTTTGTTATATATAAGGGACACGTTGGTCGTCAAAGCGAGGACTCAGTGGGAAGTTTCCTGGTGGGAGATTTGGCAAGCGGTTAAACGCCTTAAAGCATGCCTGTGCCTTGGCCCCCGTAATGCCCTTTCTGGAATCACTAGATAATACGCTAGTGAATGTTTTCTTATAATGTTACTTACAGAACTTAGCAGTAAAGCTAAGGATTTTTGAATTCTTTGTTTGTATCAAATACTTAGTTTGTATCAGGTACCGTTTCCAGAGCTTTGCAACTGTAATTGGACAAATGCTCAAAATCAGAAACAGCGAAATGTTTGGGAAATAGGGGCTTGGGGCCTAGGATGGGACTTAGGCCACTGGGCACGCAGGGTTTGGTCCCTGACACTGTGTGCCCTCGCCCCTTTCCAGCTCCATCTTGCGTGACACCCCCCCTTCCCCATTAAAAACATAGGGAGTTGATGTAACAATATATTTCATGTAGTGGATTAATATGTACCATATGTAGCACTGTAGCACCTGTCCTCCCGTTGTTCATCAATTTGCTCAAGCGGGCACCAGTAATGTCTCCATTGTGAGATTTGTTACTGTTCTTGGCGTATCGAATATGCCATAGGGAACTTGCCAGGCTCTGCCGTGCAGGGTGGGATACTCTCGGTAGCTTGCCAGGCTCTCCGAGAGGGGTGGAGGAATCGAACCTGGGTCAGCCTCGTGCAAGGCAAACACCCTACATTCTGTGCTATGGCTCCAGCCCATATGTACCATATGTAAACTTTAAAAATGACCGAGGTTTATAATGGCACCGAAGAATGTTTATAGTGTTTTCTGTAATATGATCAGATCACAGATACTGTTCTATTTCTGTAAAAAAATGCATGAAAGTTTCTCCTGTTAATTTAGTCATTCCAGGTGGTGAGATTATAAATGATTCTTTTTATCCAATAACCTCTTGGCTGACCTTGAACGTTGTGAGTTCAGGGTGTACTGAGTGTTGACCGGATGTGGTCACTTCTTGTACTATTTTGTTTTTGAATCACAAATATTGGTTTGATTTAAACACAGCTGCTCGGCAGAGATCTCTGAGTGAAGCGACTGACAGATCTCCTGTTCCCAGGGGGGCCACTGCAGTCCCCTCCCCACTAATGACACCCCTCCCTGCTCTGCCCATTGCAGCAAGGCCGTTGAGAGCCTGGCCGAAGGAGGCGGCTCCGAGGTGCAGCGGGTGAAGGAAGAGGCCCAGAAGCAGGTGCAGCAGGTGGAGGAGCTCCTGACTCAGAGGATCCGCCTGCTCGAGGAGGTAGGTGCGTCTCTTCACCTGAGGAGAAGGTGCTTCTGAGAGCCAGCTCCACGCTGAGGGGGCCGAACCCTGGTCCTTCGGGCTGGTGTGCAGAGATAGGGAGCCCGAGCGGGCCCAGACACCCGCTTCCCGAGCACCTTCTGGCTCCAGCCCCACTCTCGATAGAGAGCTGGTGCCCGCCCCCCTGCACACTGGCTGCCGTGTCCTCATTCCTGCAGCTTTGGACATCGGCATGAGGTCAGGGGTCAGAGGTCTGAGGTCAAAAAATTGTGTGCTTGTTACCCCACTTGCGAGTAGATAGAGGAGGTGACCAAGGCTCCAAGAGGCGACTCACTGAGCACGAGTAATCCTGGAATTCTTTTTTTTTTTTTTTTTGCAGGTGGGGGTGGTGGTGGTGGTGAACACACCCTGCAGTGCTCAGGGCTTCCTCCTGGCTCTGTGCTCAGTGATGATTTCTGGCGGGCTCGGGGGACCATATGGGAGGTGGGAATGGACCTGGGTCAGCCGTGTGCATGGGAAGTGCCCCACCCGCTGTCCGATCCCTCCAGCCCTTAACCCTGGGATTCTAACCCCTGACTGGTAGGTGTGCCCGAGCAGTGCCTGTCCCCAGCACCTGGCCGCCATTGCGTGCTTCTGCCGTCCCCTGTCTGACCATCCCGCTCTCCCGCTGTCCCACAGACAATATCTTTGGATGTCGCTCCACCTTCTACTTGTTCTCAGCTAGTGCAGCTTCCTGGGCCGTAAGGGGAGTCTGGGTGTCTTGTGAATAGAGATTCTCTTCCTCTAGAGGAGAGAAACTTTTCCTCCCTGTTCTGTTAGCCTCTCATTCACTGACACCAGTCTCTTAATTCTTTATATATATTATTATTTACTTTTTTAACTTGAATCACTGTAAGATAACAGTTACAAAGATTTCATGTTAGAGTTTCAGCCCTACAGTGATGAACACCCATTCCTCCATCAGTGCTCATTTCCCACCACCAGTGTCCCCAGTATCCCTCCCCCACCCCACCCTACCCCCTGCCTCTATGGCAGATGCTTTCCTTGTAACTCTCTCTCTGCTTTTGGCCATTATGGTTGCAATGTAGATACTGAGAGACCATCGTGTTTGGTCCTTTATCTACTTTTAGCATACATCTCCCATCCCGACTGATCCATCCAACCATCATTGACTTAGTGGTCCCTTCTCTATCCCAACTTCCCTCTCCCGCAACACTTGAGGCAAGCTTCTAACCCTTGACCGGTCCTCCTTGTTCTTGTCTCTACTGTCCGTGGGTGTTAATCTTTTACTCATTTGTTCTTTGAGCTCTGTGGCTTCCCCTCCCTGCTTTGTAGGGGCTCAGTGGAGAAAAGCACTCCCAAGGCTTCTGGATACAAAGGGCAGATGCATTTGTGGTGTATTTGGCTGCTTTCAGGGGTCTTTCCTAGGTGCCCCTCTCCCACCAGCTCCTTGTGTTAGCCCCTTGGGGGGCGTTGGTAGGATGAGGGCCATAATTTGGGTGCAGTGCTGAGTCTGGAAGAAGGCAGGAAGTCTTCAGGCATGAGAGATTGACTGAGGACTGGAGGAAGGGTTTTCTGAGCCCCAAGTTTGGATGGCAGCGTAAATGCAGTCCCGAGAATTTTAGGAGACTGAAAACTGTTACTTTGGCCACCTTCCGCTTCCAGTGTTGCAGATTCAACACTGGCTGACAGTGCAGTGAATTCCTGCCCTCTCTGTTGACTCCTCCCTTTCTGCAGTCTCGCCCTTCTCTCTGCAGTGACACCTGTGGGCCCAGCCTGCAGGGGGCCCTGTGTCCAGGCTTCTGGGGGAGGCACTCGGAGTGTTTCTGTACCTCGATTTCCTTCCTCTCGAAAACGTCTTAAAACTGGCTTAAAGCCAAAAGCACAGACCCCACAGTCGAGGACGGTTGCCCAAGGCCCTCGTGTCAGTGGACACGAGGGATATTCCCTACAGTTTAAACTGTCCAGTCTCCCTCTGGCTGTTGCGATTTCCTTGGGCTGGGCGAGGATCAACGATCCTGCTGGACCAGAGGTCAAGGAGAAAGCTACTTGCTCAGAGCTTGGCAGTGGCTTGGCGCTCCGTAAAGTTCTCACACTTGTGGTCTCAGAGTATTGGGAATTGTTTATTGTTTTTCACCCTAGGTATCCCGAGATGGACAGGCAAGTCTCTCAGGGAGTTCATGCTGAGGAAGGGAGGGACGCCAACCTTTTTTCCAACTTCCTGTGATTTGACGGGTCTCAGCTCTGACAGATCACAGATCAGTAATTACAGCTCCATTGATTTGAGCAATTTGGTTATATTATGGTAATTTGTAATTTGTATTATACTTTTTTTTTTTGCTTTTTGGGTCACACCTAGCGATGCTCAGAAGGTGATCGGGGACCATATCGGATTATCGGATGCTGGGGCTCGAACCCAGTTGGCCGTGTGTAAGGCAAATGCCCTTCCCGCTGTACTATCACTCCAGCCCCGTATTAAACTTTTATTCTGCATTTCTAATAAATTACCAGACGGGTAAGCTGGGGCTCCGAGAGGTTAACCAATACCTCAGGGTCACACAGCAAATGTGTCTGAGATGGATTTTAGACCCAGTTTGGTTTGATTTTTATCTTTGATAGTCAGCCCGAGTAGCTGGAGGGTCACGGCTCCTTCCAGGACTCTGAGTGTCAGGCCCTACCCCCTCACAGCCTGTGTGACGGACGGAGGTCTCAGGAAGAACAGAGTTGTCCACCCCACAGACTACCTGGGAGACAGGAAATCTGTAGTAGACATATAGTCATTATCTTCAAATAAAATGCAGTGACGGGTGCTGGGGTGTGGGATGAATTTGCATGGAGATTATGGTGGCTCTTTGGAATTTATGAATGTTTAGGCATTGAGAGGCACCTTTCTCCTTGTTCTCGCCGAAGCCATAAATACTGATCTGATTTTTCAAAACTGAAAACGCCATTCTTGTAGAGTTGAGTCCTTTCCCTATTACTCTTCAAGCTACAAGAGGGAAGAATGGCTGGCAAACGTATTTATTACTGATTCTCCCCATGTATAGTTCAGTTCGGGGGGTGGGGTGGGGGTGGGGGAGAGAATGTGCCTGAGAAAAAGTCATAAATATTTATATTTTAATCCAATTTCCTTTCAAAATGTTCCCAATTGTATTGAAAAATTGCATCAAATGCATTTAATTTAACTCTAGGATGTGAAAACCTCCCAAGCAGAACTGGAAAAGGCCTTTGCAGCGACGAAAACGGAGATGACGCTTCGGCTGAACTTGGAAAACAAGCTGGCGGAGACGCAGCAGCTGCGCCAGGGGGACCTGGACATGGCTCAGGCCCTGGAGCAGAAGGACAGGTGGGGCGGGGGACCCCGGATTCTCTGGCGTCCGCTTATCCGGTGAAGCGGATGGGGAAAGAGTCTCTCCTTTTCCTCCTTTCCTCTCTTGTTCGTCTCTTCTCCTTCCCCACGGTGGGTAAGCTAGGGATACAGTCAAATTGAGATTTGGAAAAGGGATCAGGCAGTGATAGGACAACAGAGAGGGGCTGGAGCGGATAGCACAGCAGGTAAGGTGTTTGCCTGGCACGCGGCTGACCCAGGTTCGATTCCCAGCATCCCGTATGGTCTCCTGAGCACCTCCAGGAGTAATTCCTGAGTGCATGAGCTATTCGTAACCCCTGTGCATCTCCGGGTGTGACCCAAAAAGCAAAAAAAAATGGCAGAGATTGGGCTAGTAGGCATTCATGGGGGAAAAAGTTACTTTACTCTTCCTTGGTTACTTTATTTCGCTTCTAGGTTTCGCTGTATGCTTTCTGGGACTTTCTGGGACCCGGAAGGAAAAGAGAAAAGCCGTCTTGGTGGGCCTCAGCTTCCCACTGTTCCTCAGATCAGCTGGTTGTGCGGGGGGAGCCTGGTTTCACTTCTCAGGATGCTCTCTCTGGGATCCTTTCCTCACACTCTGCACCAGTGAATTTTGTCTGGCCTGTTGCCCTGCATGTCTTTGAGAGCAGGTGCAGGTCCAGATCAGGGGCCCAATGGTGTTGGTTCTTAGTCATTAGACCAAATGCATTACTATGACGGTCTAGAAATAACTCGTACTGTTTGGTTCGGAGAAATGGACGGATCCCGTGGTCTGTAGGCAGTCTTTAGTGATGTGTGTGTGTATTTAGTGCAATGCTTGTGAGCAAACCCAGGGCCTCACGCTCGCATGTTGTGCATTTGTGGCCAGGTGACATCCCTGATCCTGAAGCAGTCTTTAGTGTCCATCATGTCTTACAACCAAACTTTTGCTCGGAGCTGGTGCAGAGAAAGTTGAGGTCTTGCTCTTTTATGGGGGTGGGGATGGAGTACACCCTGTGACGGACTGTCAGGGACCCCGACAGGATCGGAGGCTGAATGTGGGCTTGAGCCCTTTGGACCATCTCCTCTCAGGTTTTTATGGTCTTACTCTTGGCCATGAGCCTCCGATTTTGATCCTTTTGCCTTGCAAGAGCATGAATGGACTCTAAAACTCAGAGGGCGGCTCTCTGGGCGAGCTGCATGGAGTCCCCAGGATTTAAGTGCACTGGCTCCAGCATTTGGAGGCGTTCACATTGATTTTGCTTGCCACAAGCTTGCTATTTTTCTTTTTAAAATGTATTTATTTAGTTTTATTTTAATGAATCACCGTGAGATAGTTACAGACTTACAGATTTTCATGATTACACTTCAGTCAAGCAATGTTCGAGTACCCATCCCTCCACCAGTGCCCATTCTCCACCACCAATGTTCCCAGTGTCCCTCCCGCCACCCCCATCCCCTCCTACCCCCTGCCTCTGTGGCAGGAACATTCCCTCTTACTTTCTCTCTCCTTTTGGGTGTCATGGTTTGCAGTAGAGGCAGTGAGTGGCCATCATGTTTGGTCCATAGTGTCCTTTCAGCACGCATCTACCATCCCGAGCGAACCCTCCAACGATCATTTACTTAGTGTCTCTTCTCCATCCCACCTGCCTTTTCCCCAGCACATGAGATCGGCTTCTAAGTCGTGAGGTCATCCTCCTGACCCTTATCTCTGCTGTCCTTACGTGTTAGTCTCCTATTAAGTTACTTTATATTCCACAAATGGGTGCACTCATTCTGTGTCTGTCCTGCCCGACGCGTTTTGCTTAGCTTGATACTCTCCATGTTGATCCACTCATATGCAAATTTAGAAAAGATAAAACCATGAAATTTGCCACAAGCTTTCCTTGGCTGCGGTCAGGAAGGCCGAAGCATGGGGCTTGGTCTAGGGTGCTGATGCTGCCCTGTCTGGCTGAGTCTGCCATTTCAGAGTGGCGCCTCTAGAGGGCAGTCTTTCTCCTCTTTTGATGTTCCCGGGGTATGACTGTGCTGCTTTAGTCTGGTGCCACCGTCGGATGCCCGCAGGCTGGGCGCCACCGTAGCAACGAGAGAAAGCAACTTCATCTCTCGTTGCCAGAGCCTGGCAGTTTGGAACCCGGATGCCAGCCTGTCAGGGTGAGGGCCCTTCGCCATGTAGTAGGTGTCTCATTGGCATCGCCCCAGAGCGGCGGGAAGGAGGGCGCTGCTGCCACTCCTGCCCGCCACCTGCCAAGGCCGCCCGCCCGCCCGCCTGACACCAACCCCGCTGGGCACTTGGGCAGGGAGCACAAGTATCCACCTGCAGAGCTGATCCTCGCCTCAGCTTCGCTGTAGACTCTTTGGACATGATGCTGATTGTTGAGGGTTACAGAAAGCCATGACACAGCACATGTGAATCGGTGAGAACTGTGTAGAAACATTTAGAACCTTGTAGGGCTCTTTTTTTTTTTTTTAAGTAGTTTCTTTTTCGTGTTACATCTGGCCCTGTGAGAGCATGGAGGAAGGAAGGAAGGAAGGAATTCAAGAGTTTGGGTAATTTGGCCTCAGTCAGGGATGGACCATTGAGAAGGGATGGGTCAGAGGAGGAGGAGTTATCTCTGCCCGAGGGCGGCCTGGGGTGTGGGCTGGTCAGGTCTCCTCTGCGAGGACGACTGGGCGTTTCAGCCAGTGGGAGGAGAGTGGTGAGAGGTGATAGTGTTGTTAAACTGGGCCGAGATCTCCCCAGAGGAATCACATGAAGACAAGTTGCAATGCAATAAGCAAAGGGTCTTTATTGGCTAGCTTGAGCTAGGGCCCTCATCCGGCTCACTGACACAGTGGCAGCCTTCTCGGAACGAGTGGCCCCAACTCTCAAAAGTGAGGAGCTTTTGTACCATAACATTATGTAAGAGGGACTTTCCGCAGACCACCCTTCTGGCCGAAGTCTGAGGGGCTTTCTGCTACTTGTACTTAGCTGATTGATTTTAAGTTGGAGTTACATAAGGGTAGCATAAGAGTTCCCGAAGGGCTACATGGGGGGGACTTCCCTACCTGCATCTGATTGGTAACCCTTAGTTGAGTGCCGGTTGACCTTAGTTGACCTCACCATGGCTATTTCACTTTGGGGAAATCATGACTCAGCTCTAGGTATCTGCGCTCAATTCCAGGAATTCTGGAACCGAAACCTAGGCCGAGCTTCTTTCTGAACCTGTCATGGGGCTGCCTTTGCTTCTCTATCTCTCAGTGTGCGCCACGGGCCAGGGGCACAGGAACAGGCTGACCTGGGCAGAAAACTGGGAGTGAGGTGAGGGCTTCCAGTGAGAGGCGGAGCTGAAGCTTCTCATGCTGTGGCCCCCCCCCCATTTCATCCCACAGATTTTGCCCGTGGCAGCTTTGGAATATCCCACATGGCCCCAGTGGGGATGGCACGGGGCCCTGACCACCAGGGCCTCCGACCATTCACTCAGTGAGTGTGTTTGCGTCTTGGCCCTAGATGCTTAGAGACACGTCCTTGGTTGTGGGCGATCAACCCCGGGTGAACGGGAGGATTAAGGACAGAGAGAAAAATAAGAGAAAAAGCATGGGGTCGAGGGCTCCCGGCCTATGGACTCCCAGCCTGTGGCCTGTTCCCAGCTTGATGTGTTCATTGCTTAGAGCCAGTAAACATCAGAACAACAAACATTCTTTAGTTGGATTAGACTTTTACAGGGTGTTGGTCAAATATAAATATAAAGGTTTTAGTTCAGCATAAGCTGAACATAAGCATAAGCGAAGTAAAGCGCTTCCCTTCAGGGGAAATGCTTCTGGGAGCTCTGCCCAGGGGCGCCCTCGGGCTCCGTCTCTGGATTCTGGTCCCCAGCGCTGGGTCTCCCCCACTCACCGGGTCACTCTGCTTCACTGAGTAGTTGGGTTCGGGCTTTGGTGCCGTCTTTCTCCACCAGAAAGCAGTCACTCTGCTGGGGTAGACAGTGGCGGCCATTGCCCACTGCCAGTCTTTGAGCGGAAGAGTGAACCTACCCAGTCACTGGCTGGTGGCTTGGAAGCTGGAGGTGCAGGGATAGTGAGGTCCCCCAGGTCCCCCACTCTGCACCGTGTGACGCCGTGGTCGGTCAGTCGTCGGACAGGCCTTCTTGCAAGGTGACCGGGCCCCCTTCCTCGCCGCCTCCTGCTCTGCTGAGTGGAAACAACCGCGTAGAATTAATATTGAAATTTTGTTCCCCTGTAGACTGATTGAGGAGTTGAAGCTGTCTCTGAAGAGCAAAGAAGCTTTAATTCAGAGCCTTAAGGAGGAGAAATCTCCGGCTCCTGATGAGAATGTGTCATCCGGAGAGCTTCGAGGCCTTTCTGCTGCTTTGAGGGAAGAAAAGTACCGGGAAAGTGAGGTGAAGTGATGGGACAGGAATGGGGGGCTTCCCTTAGCAGACCTGGGTCCTCCTTAGGAAGTGGGGTGCACAGTCTCCCCCAGAGCACGCACCCTGTTTCCCAGCACCAGCTCTTGTCAGCTGAGTGGTTTGCCTGACTGCTGCTGTCAGGGACCCCCCAGCATTTTTTGATTTTCTTTTGATAATGATGTAGAGTTTTTTAACCTCCCCCCTCCCTCCCACCACCCTTCCACCTCCTTGCCTCTGTTTTACCATTACACACACACACACACACACACACACACACACACACACACACTCCCCTCTGTTTTACCATTTATTAAGTTGATTACTGCCCAGGGATGTAGTTCCCATCTTTTGGGGTGTCTTAAGATTAAGTTGTGGTAGATATTCATTTTACCTTTGTGTTTAGAGGCAGGCATGAGGCCAGCTCTTTATTATTATTATTATTTTATTTTTTAAGTTGTAGTAACCTTTGCTTTATAAGACTGTGACTCTTTCTAAGCCCTAAGAGTCCAGAGTTCTGGGAGCGTCTGGCTGGAGCCCGGGGTTGGCGGGCCGCAGAGGAACCGCGACAGGTCCTGTGGCCTGGCTTGTAATTGGTTTTTTTTTCATTTCTTTCTGAATCTTCCATATTAAACAAATCCTATTGTCCTGGGAGGAGGGGAGGTCGGATTCCTCCTACAGATGAGAACATGGAGAGGTGGGAGTGACGGGACCAGGGTCACATTAAATAAAGGGCCTTAGGAGCTGAGAAAAAAAAAAAAAAGAAAGAGTCCAGAGTTCTCCCACCACGCCAAAGTACTATTATCCCTTCAGCATAGTCTCTCTATTTCTGCCCAGGGCCATGTTTGTTTGGTCTGAAACATCAGAGGCACTGGGGAGGGAACTGGTTTGTGCAGAGTCTTGGTGCACCTGAAGGAATCCTGTGTGCCACCTTCTTTAGTCCTAGGCTCCCAGCGGGGGGTTGGAATAAGGTATCCACAGCCTGGAAGTACAGGTAAGTGCCTAGTCGAGATCTTCTCAGTCTTGTTGGGTCGCGGTTGACGGCTGAGGAGGTCCACTCCCCTTCACCTCCTCGGCTGTTCTGCAGACTCAGGAGAGGTCTCGAGTCCTGGCTGACCACAGAGGATTCTGTAGCCTCATCAGTGGGCGTCGGCTGTGAGCTGCCCATTTCTCTGCTTCTCCTTCGAAGCCGCTTGAGAAGTGTCTCTTCGTTGCTCAGCCTCTCCCTCCTCCTCTCTGTGGGGCTGGGGGCTGGGAGCATGTGGGGGCGGAGGGTGATTTTGCATGGGAGGGAGAGAATCCTACGGCTGTGGGGGAAGGGGAGTAGAAGAGAGTATTCTCCCCCCCACACACACACTTGTTTGGAGGGAAGCTTTTGGGTGGCGGGTCTTCTGCGCACCCATTCATGTCTCTTCTCAGGCTGCACAGATGGACCTCCAGGAGGAGAGAAAACACCTGGAAGTGCAGATTCAGGTATGTCGATGCAGTTCCATTGACCACTTCCCTCTGGGTGCAGTAGACAGTGCTCCGTGGCAGTAGCTGTCCTTCATCGGAGGCCACCCTCGTGCCAGTCTTGCTGCAGGCACATTCCTGGCAGCCGCAGGGAAGCAGGCCTTCCCTGTGTGCCTCCCCGAGGTGGGGGCCCCTCATCTGGGACCCCTCCCCCCCTGCCCCGCAGAGCTCAGGAGAGAGATCCAAGCGTTCCCACCTGGCCGGTGTGAGTCTGCTCTTTGGCCCCCACAATCCAGTCAGAGCAGACAGCCCCCCCTCCCCCCCGTATTCTTTCCCCCAACCCCCAGCCACCCGCCCCAGCTCAGGAAAGTGTTGCTTTCACGTCCATTATCCTCACCACAGCCTGGGAGGGGAAGGCGGCTGTGATTATCTCTGGAATTGAACTCGGGCTATAAATGTCTGCGCTCAGGCTCCATCACGCCAAATTCTCTGCTGGCTTTTGCAGCATTAAGGAATGAAATTAATGAACTGTTATTTCCCCCCAAATAACCTGGTATGGTTTCAGGCTCTGATGTGACTATATTCAAATTCCAGAAGGCATTGGAGTCCTTCCCATAGGAATAGCTGTCACCGCCGTAACGGATCCGAGCCCCTTCCTTCCTCCCGGCCCCGTCGCCGGGAGCGGTAACACAGCCACTCGGAGCCGTTGCCTCTGCGCTCAGCTCTGCCTGGAGACATTAATCACAGCTTGACAGGAATAAGATAGAATAACTGCATCTGAGTGTGCTCTTAAAGATATATTTACAGTGCGTTTTGGTTGGAACGCATCAACTTAGTGAATCTTTTTCTAATCTAATTTAGGCACTTCAGGAGGACCTGAGAGAGAAGGGAAGAGAAATTGCGACAGAAAAGAAAAATAGTTTCAAGCGGGATAAAGCCATTCAGGGTCTAACCATGGCATTAAAGTCAAAGGAAAAAGAGGTATGTCGGAGCGACCCGGAGTGAGATTTTTCTTTATTAGCCACTGTGACTGGCCGGCCCTCCCCTCAATGCTCAGCCTGCCGAGAGTGTAGACGCACGGGGATGAGTCAGAGAGCCAGGAAAGGCCCCTCCGGGCCACTGGGAAGCGCTTCTGGAATGTCTCATCCAGCTCTGTCCAGTAGACAGACGATGGGATTTGCACGGGTGATTTTGAATTTTCTAGTAGTCATATTAAAAGAAATGAAGTGAAGTAGTAAGATATGCCAGGCATGATTATTTCAGCACTTTGCCAGTCCAAAAAACAACAATTGTGCATTTAATGTTAAAAAAAAATGCATCTCTGTCTCGGACACGAAATCTGCTCACTGCCTGTTTGAGACGCTGGATAGCCCCAGGGGCCAGGGGCTTCTGCCCTGGCCAGTTTAGGCCTCACGCTCTGGACCTTGGTCCTGAGTCCTCGTCTCCCCCCAGGTTAAAGAACTTAACTCTGAAATCGAAGAGCTCAAGACGGCCTTCACCAGAGCCCGGGAAGCCGCCCAGCAAGCAGAGGCTGACAAGCTCCAGGTGAGTGTCTGTCCCCCGAGGCTGAGGCGGCTGCTGTCTCCGCTCCTTCTGGCCCACAGGGACCAAGGAAAGCAGAGCGGGCTCAGGCACGAGAACCACCTCCGTCCCAGGACCGGAAGTCTTCCGCAAGGGCTGGTGGCTTCCTGCCTGCTCCGAGTATCCCGTTCTCTCTCTGCCCACTGCTGACCATGGCTGTTTTCTCATTTCATCCTCACAGCCCTGGGGGAAGGCAGTGGTCACCCCCTCAGCACTGTGGGGGTTTTGGAGGCCCTGCAAGCTTATTCACTGTCACATAGCAAGTGTCAGGGTCAGATTTTATTTATTTCTTTATTAATAAGGTAAGATAGTTCACTAGATTTGATTACATTTAATAATCAAACCCCTATCCCACCACCATTATACTTTCCACCATCATATTTCTGATGTTTCCATCCTAAACCCCAGTCCCTGTCCCAAAGCAGAACTGAAATAATTTTATTTTGAGTTGTTTGTTATGAAAAACTGCTGAAAATGCTACAAAAAAGTATCCTTAGAGGAAAGAGTGTTAAGATTGTTCTATCGCCACAGGGGCCATTAAGACCTTCTTTAAGAGATCACTGAAAGTGTTGTTAAAGATTGTTAAAGAGCCTTGTGTACTTTTATTTATATATCTGTAAAAAAAATTGTTTGCCTCCTGCTTTGAACCCCATCAGATCTGGTGCAGTCGGAGTATGGATCGGGTGTTTCCCATGAAGTATCTTGAGGTCCAGGAACAGGTTCACTCATGGGTGAAGCTCAAGGGCCAGATTTTAAATGCCGCCATTGCTGACTCTTAAGAGTTGGGTATTCATTGATCATTTACTCTGTGCCATGGAAAAGATGCGTCCAGAGTCGCAGGTTCTTCGTCCTCTTAACAACTTCTTCGCCGCTCTTGAAGGCATCTCATGCCGCTCTCTTCCTCCTGCACAGTTCTGGCGGCAAGTCGTTTGTCATGTTGAGTTCTCGACCCAGGTACACATAGCTGCGGCATTCGGAGATGTTCGTTCTGTTGAGAGCAAATGGAATGTCAGGAACTAGTTTTTCATGAATATTGTCTTGGTGAGATTCAGCTGCAGTCCGACCTTTCCACACTTGTGGTCGAAGTTGGCCAGCATTCATGCCACTTGGTGTTGTTAGAATGATGTTATCAGTGAAGCGGAGGTAGTGTAGTTGCTGACCGTCTATCTTCACTCCCATTTCTTCCCATTCCAGTCGTTGCATGATGCTCTTGAGGTTGGCACTGAGGAGTTTCGGTGAAATGGTATCACCCTACCGAACCCCTCTCTTGACATGGATGATCACTTTCTTGTAGAATGGTGAGATCCTGGTAGTGAATCCGTAATACAGCTCATGGAGGATCCTGATGTACTGAGTTTGAATGCCCTGTTTGGCTAGGGCTTCGATGACCACTTCCATCTCAACAGAATCAAAGGCCTTCTTTAAATCAATGAATGTTAGACAGAGCGGCATCTTGAACTTGGAGACTCAGGCTGAGCCTCATGCATGAGTGAAGCCCCACAGAACTTTGTGACCTTGGACTCCAGGCTCAGTGGGACCCGGAAACAGAGATTCTCTGCCTGCTTCCACCAATCTCCGGTGACCCAGGGATCACACCCAGAAGACCCACCCTGCTGGTGCCAGATAAACACTTCATCGACCGACCTCCACTACCTCCACTACCTAGCCGCCACTGTGCTCCAGGCTGCTTTCCGGACACATCATAAGACATTTAATAACCGTTTTCCATAATTACTGCACCATATTTGATGGGGTTCATCAAATGAACCATGAAAACACCTGTAAGGGTGATTAGATGCTGCCCTAAAAGCCTCTATTCCTCTCGGAGAGCCCGACAAGCTACTGAAAGTATCCCGCTCGCATGGCAGAGCCTGGCAAGCTACCCGTGGCGTATTCGATATTCGAGATATATATATATATATATATATCAGCCCATACACTTAAGTGATGTGTATATATATATATATATATATATATATATATTAACCAAACCATTTTTTTTGTTTGGGGGCCACACCCAGCAGTAATTAGGGATCACTCCTGGCTCTGCATTCAGGGATCACTCCTGGCAGGGCTTTGGGGACCCTACAGGGCTCTGGAGATTGCACCCAGGTGGGCCGCATGAGAGAAAAGTGACCCACCCACTATCCTATCTCCCTAACTCTCTAAAATATTATTTTTATTAGGAGGAATAGAGTGGATTTAAATGTGGAATGCTGTTCACTAACTGTAACCTTGGGCAGGATATCCAAGCTCTTCCAGACTGCTTGCACGTTGGAATTCTTCAAGCTTGGGTTTTTAAAGAGACTCTGTCATCGTTATTTACACGATGATTTCACACAGCTTTCATTCCTTTATAATGCTTATTATTTTTAACAATAACCAGAGCTGTTCTTTGTTTAACAAGCTCCTGGCTGGTGGTTGTGTGTGTCTCCCTTCCCCCCTGGATCCCCGACCCCCACTCAGTCTTGCTCTTTTCTTGGTGTTAATGAGATCTCTCTTTGCTGCACAAACACAGGTGCAGGAGTGGTGTGAATCCCAGACTTCCGTCCTAGACGTGTGGGCTGATGACAGGCTGGTCATTAAAGTTCTGAGGCTCACTTTAGTGGGGTTAAGTCATCTGTACTCTGCAGAGTTGATGTAAAATAGAGACATAAAGTGTTGAAAAATAGCGGGTAGGGTGTTTGCCTTGCACGCGGCCGACCCGGGCTCTATTCCCAGCATTCCATATGATCCCTGGAGCACTGCCAGGGGTAATTCCTGAGTTCATGAGCCAGGAGTAGCCCCTTTGCATAGCCGGGTGTGACTCAAAAAGGAAAAAAAAAGTGCCTGGTTTAATAACTCTTCAGTTAAAAAAGTGCCTGGTTTAATAACTCTTCTATAACCAGCGCTTTGATGAAAGGTAACTATGGAGGTTGTTCAGTGGACATTTTCCCAGTTTTTCTTGTTTACTTATTTTTCAAAGCTTATTATTCACGGTCATGGTCACGGTCCTCCTGTTGTCATCAATTTGCTCGAGCAGGCCTAGTAACGTCTCCATCATGAGACTTGTTACTGTGTTTGGCATATCGAATACGTCACGGGTAGCTTGCCAGGCTCTGCCGTGCGGGCGAGATACTCTCGGTAGCTTGAATTTTTTTTCCCTTCTTGTTTTCTTCCTTTTTTCTTCCTTTTTTATTTTCTTTGATTTTTCTTCCTTTTTATTTCCTTTTTTTCCCTTTCTGGCCACACCCCGTAGTGCTTAGAGTTTACTCTTAGCTGTGCATTCGGGAATCACTCCTAGCGGGACTCCCAGGTGCAGTTCTGGGGTTCGAACTCATTCAGGCCGTGTGCAAGAAAAGTGCCCTGCCCACTGTACTATCTTTTCAGCCTCAACTTTTGGATTTTTTTGAGTTTCAGTCTATTTCAGAGGAGAGGTTGAAGAGTTTGTTTTCTTCTGATTTGAAAGTATCAGATATGCTGCCTCTAACCTCTACTCCCAGCACCCCAGAATACCAAAAAAAAAAAAAAATTAAAATCAGGCAATCAGGAAATCAACCAACCATTCTTAACAGTTTCATGTTTTTGCTTTTGGTTTTCTTACATCCATAGAGGTTTTTTTTGAGATCATTTGCAGCTTGGTCCTTTTATTTTTTTCATATAATAGCTTGACTTGGAAATGTTCCCACATTGTCAATTCTTTGAAAATATAATTTTAAGATTTCATTGTGAGACTTTATGCTGCTTTATTCATTTTCATATTCTTGCAGATTTAAGTTGTTTTTTTATTTTAGTTTTTTTACTGTTGTGGGTGATTCTGTGATGAATGACTGGGTAGAAGGCTTTTTCCCTCTTGTATTTTGTTTTTCCCCCCTGAGATTGAATTCTGGGAATTGAATTATTGGTCTGAGTGTGAACATGTTTATATTACACACATACGCTTGAGATATAAAATCTTTCTATAGGGAATTATTTCAATTTGCGTTCCTGCCATCTTATTTTCTGGTTTTTAGATGCTTGGTCAGTGCTTGAAAAACAACTACGCATCGCACTGCTTTACCATAAACTCATCAGCATTGGGTATATTCATTGAAACAGTTTCTCCTGTTAAGTGATTGCTTGTTTTAGTTTGTTCTTTTCATGCTTATTGGTGAGTTACAACATTTCCTCATGTGCTTGATAATCACGTCTGTATTTTTCTGATAAACTGCACTGAGGAAATAATGATGTTCTTGTCACGTTCATTAGGTCCTTAGACACATTTAATCCTTCAGGGGGCATTGGGGGCAGGGTTAGGTTTAGGGCTTACTTACAGTTCTGCTCAGGGACCACTCCTGCTGGGGTGGGGATCGAACCCGGGCCAGCTGCGTGTAAGACAAACTCCATACTGTCTCTCCAGTCCCACGTTTTTTTATCCTCTTGAGATGCTGTTGGACAGCCATGCTGACTTCTTTTCCTCTAGATTGCTTTGGATTTGAACCTTCCTATCCCAGAAGAGCACGGCCAGTGCTCTACGCTTCAAACTAAACGCTTTACCTGTTAGAACTAACTACAGTTGTTTTCCAGAGCCTTTATAAAAGCTCACTTACCTTAGAGCATTGGAAGACACATTTGAAAAACACAAGGAAAATATCAGCTGTATTCCCACCACCACTGTTAACGTTCTGTGCTTTTTCTTCCGGTCTTTGTTTTGGGGTCACATTGGGCAGTGCTGAGGGTTTCTCCTGGCTATGCACCCAGGAAATACTCCTGGCAGGTTCTCGGGGGACCATATAGAGTGCCAGTGATCGAACCAGCCGTGTGCAAGGCAAATGCCTATCCCACAGAGCTATAACTCTGGACTTTCCTTCCAGTCTTTAAAAAAAAGGGGGGGCGGGGGGGCTGGAGAGATAGCACAGCGGGTAGGGCGTTTGCCTTGCACGCAGCTGACCCGGGTTTGATTCCTAGCATCCCATATGGTCCCCCGAGCACCGCCAGGAGTAACTCCTGAGTGCAGAGCCAGGAGTAACCCCTGTGCATTGCCAAGTGTGACCCAAAAAGGAAAAAAAAAAACCAACAGCCCTTTACCCAGTTGTAAACATCAGCATCATAACAAGGACTGACCTTACTTTGTGCTAGTGCAGATGTTTGTTTCTTTTGGCTCTTCGGTTCCTGAATGCCATGGGTGTTAATCTCCCTCCCACTCCTCTGCCCTCCTCCACCTAGGTGGAAAAGGGTCCTCCATCCCTTGGGTGCTCGGATGCCCCGGTCCATCTGCCCCTCTCTCCCACTTCCTCCAGGGCTCAGAGGATTACGAAGCGGCGCTACAAGAAAAGGCAGCCCTCCTGACCGATCTGCGCTCGGAGAACCTCAGCAAGAACACGGAGAACCAGAAGCTGCGTCGGAGCATCAAGAAGCTCACGCAGGAGCTGTGTGACGTGCAGCAGGAGAGGGGCAGGCTCGAGCGGGAGCTGGAGGAAGCCCTGGGCGAGAAGAGCAGAGCTGATGGCACCATTCACGTGAGTACCGCGGGGGGTGGGGCTGGGGGTAGTCTGGGCTCTGCTTGTTTCTGGTGTGAGAGAGGGGGTTATCCACTGCTGCCAACACAGGAGCCCCGTCACACTCCTCATCATATCCCTTCGAAGTGACCAGTCACAGCTCCGGGGTATGTTGGCCATTTTCACGCCCATCCACTCAGAGGCATCCATTTGTGGAACCGAGCAGATTCCCAAGTTGGGATCTGGCCCTGTCCCTCCCCTTCCTCCCCTCCCCTCCCCTCCCCACTCTTCCCGACTCCACTCCAAAGCCTGAAAGGATGTTTCCAGCTATTGAGATTAGACTGTGGTGGTTGCTTGGAGTGGGGACACTGGCATCCCTACTTTGATAATCCTCATGCTGATCTGCTGATAAGAGAACTGAAATACATACACGTTAATATGCTTTAAGGAAACCTCGATGAGGGGGCCTTGGAGATAATGTGGGCTAAGGTCCTTGTCTCGCATGCAGCTGACCCTGCTTCCGTTCCTGGCTCTGCATTATTGTCCCCAGCGCCTGACCAGGAGTAACCCCTGAGCACAGAGCCAGGAGTAAGCCCCAGGCACTGCCAGGTGTCAACTGAAAAGCCTAAAACAAGAAAGGAAAAAAATTAGTGACTGTTAAAGGGGTGATGGTGGAAATCTAGAAAAATAGGAAAGTGTCAGCTATAATTTCAGTGTCCTCACAGGGTCTGTGTTTCGGTGTCACTGTCTTGTTCTGCACCCGGGCCCCAGTCTAATCAGGCTAATCCCCGTTCTGTGTCCTGCAGCCCCTCCCTCTGTCACTTGGAGGTCTCCTGACCCACACTGTGGGGGCCTCCCAGTGAATATGTTGACTGATGTGCCCTTTTGCTCCGAATTTTAAGTCCCTTCCCTGTTGGACATTTTGGCTCTTGAATGCCACAGTCTTTGGGCATAAGTGCATATTCTCTTGAAATCCCTAGGTTAGATTCTGAAGAGTGAGATTATTTGCTCAGATCTTCAAATGTTTAATGTAATATGTAAATATATCATTTGAAAGGGGCTGTTACTCTTGTCAAGTGTTTGAAACAGCTGCCTGAGATTACATCAGTGGCTTTGCTCTAAAATACATACTTCTTCCTCTGTTGTCAGAGTTGTTGGTCCTGTAATTCACTTGTCCCCGTAACCCTAGGGCTTCTCCAGGGACTTGGGACTGCTGTTGCTAAGAGGTAGGAGCCCCCCAGTGTGTCCGGGAGTGGGAGAAGGATGCAGTGACAGAGAGTTCAGGGAGAAGTACACTGTGGTGTGGGTGGGGTTTTTTTTTTCCTTGTTACTGTCACTGCCACTGTCACTGTCCTCCCATTGTTCATAGATTTGCTTGAGCGGGCACCAGTAACGTCTCCATTGTGAGACTTGTTGTTACTGTGTTTGGTATATCGAATACACCATGGGGAGCTTGCCAGGCTCTGCCATGCGGGCGGGATACTTTTGGTAGCTTGCCGCGTTCTCCGAGAGGGATGGAGGAATCGAACCCGGGTCGGCTGCGTGCAGAAGAAATTTGCTTAAGGAAATGTGAGTGGAGAGAAAACGAGACCCATGCTCAAGAGAGAAAGCGGGTTTCCCTAGAGTAGAAAGAGCTGGCTGGGAGCCTTTGGCGGCGAAAGAAGCCCCATGTGGGCGAACACGGGGGAAAGGGAGCAGGACTGCGCAGGTGACAGGCTGCTGGGAGGATGGAGAGGCAGGTGCTCTCGCTGACTCTGAAAGCTGGCTTCCTGCTTGCATCTGTGGCCCTCGCCTCCGAGTGTCTGGACCCGTGACCGGGGGCCTGCTGGGCTCCCATCTTGCCTGCTTACTTGGTGAGGAAGGAATTCCCCACACTCAGCCGGGCTGCTGCTGTCTCCCTCAGGATGGCCAGAGGGGCGAGCGAGCGAGTTTGTGTGTGTGTGTGTGTGTGTGTGTGTGTGTACTCTCATCTGCACATACTGCATATGTGCGCACACACACACACGTATGTACCAGAAGGGTGAGTGTATAATTGTACATACATCTGCTTATGTGCAAAACGTGTGTGTACACGAGTATGCATGCACACATCTGCAGCCACAGACCACTTTCCCTAGGGCCATGTGTTTTGGAGGGGGCCCGGTTAATTAGTAGTTGCCCAGTAGTTGCCCCTTCAGGCTTCCTAGAAGACCCAAGCAGCGGCTATGTTTTCCATACTTTTCCGGTTTGCTTTTGGGCCGCACATGGCGATACTCAGAGCCTACTCCCAGCTCAGTGCTTGGGAGTGATCCCTGGCAGTGCTTCGTGGGTGCCAGGGTGCCAGGGATTTGAGCTGGGGCCAGTGGGATGCCAGGCAAGAGCTTTAGTCTTCTTCTGTGCTTTCTGTGTTCTCAAGTACTGACTGGGAGCTTCCCAGCCCCTCCTCCCGACTGGTCTCCAGGGTAGGTGGGACAGTGGCACTTCCTGTGGCAGTGCTGTTTAGCCGCAGGGTCTTTGTTTCTGCAGAAGGCTGTGGCCAGCACAATTCTTGTTTTCAGGCATGTTTGGTTCAGTCCCTGGCACACTCGTCCTGTTGCTGCCCCCCAGGCTGGGGGCGCTCAGGCAGGCCTCTGTTGTACTCCGTAGTCTCCAGACTGTCCGACTCTTCATTTGTCGCTCACCACCCAGAGTGGTTGAGCAGAAAAAAAACATGTTAGGAAAACAGAGAGGTGCTCCAGGGGTTAAGACGCTCGCCTGGTATGTGGCCGATCCCAGATTCCCTACCTGGCATTGCTTAGGGTTCCCGTGCACCACCGGGAGTGGTTGCTGAGCACAGACAGAGCCGGAAGTGAGCCCTGAGCACCCGTACCAAAAGAATATTTCCCCCATTTTCTAAATCAGTCAGAGTCTCAGAATTTCCCCATAGGAAACCACCTCCGTGTTCTGTCTAGGTCTGTGTCCTCTTCACTGCGGGACTTGACTTGAGACACGCTGTGCTGGCCTGTCCCATTGTGTCTGTTCCAGACTCCTCGAGGGCTGCTTTAGGACCAGGAGCACCAAACCTGGTCATGACTCAGCTGAGGCTAGAGAACTCTGCATCCTCCCTGGAAGGTACTTCTCCTTCTGCACAATAAATTCTGGTTACATGAGCTGGAAAAAAAAAGAGACTGCTTTGCTTTTGGCAGAAAGGAGGATTAATACATTTCTAGCAGAGCAGAAGAGTATGTTTTCAAGAATACCAAAGTTGAAATATTCCGATTATTTGAAGCTTTAAGAGTGGCAACTTATTCCTTCCTGTATTTCAGCAACATCTGCCGAGATATATGGAAAGCCATAACATTCAATAAGGTTAAAAGTGTCACTGAAGACACCAGGGTCCAGGAAAAAGGAGGGAGACTGGTGAAATGGAGCCAGAGTGAGAGGGCAGGAGTGTAGCGCGGGTGCCCATCCCGGCACGAAAGAGGGGACTTAACATTCAGACGGCAGCTCCTGGCAGCGAAAGTAGAAAGGGGCAAATTCAGTTCCGAGGTCTCCAGCGTCTGTAAGATGAACATGTTCAGATAAAAGGACAGCTTCTGCCGGCACCAGGGCCTGAGGGAGTGTTGCCTCGGGTGGGTTTTTATAAAGAGTTCTCTGAGCAGTACACAGAGCCTTGCACAATGCCCCTTTCAATAAAAGCAATTTTGCACAGGGCTGGATCAATGTCATCCGAGTTGGTAAGCTTGTAAAGCATTAAGACTTCTGGTTCCCGGGACGGTGTTTAGCTGTGTGCCATTATCCTCTATTCTTGGACACGAGTGGCAGAAATCGGGGCGAATTCTGCAGCGCCACGGATGAGCCCGACGGCTGGCCTTCGCTGTGGCCCCTGGGCGAGTCCCGCTGGGTTGCGTTGTACTGCCTGGATGCTTTCCGACAAGCAAACTCAGCTTCCTTTTGGAAGCAATCACCCCGCCTTTGGCTCCTGCCAGAACCTGCATGTTAGTCTCGTCGTGCCTGCCCCGAGCATCCAGGGGCCATGAGTCCTGGATCAGGGCCTGTGGCCTCCCAGTGTCTGTTCCCACGCACCTGAGTTTCACGCCTTTGAGTATCCGTCACTCCAATTGGTGCTCATTGCTGGTGACTTCAGTGACCTCCTTCTGGTAGGCTCAGCATCAGTTGGGACTTGTGGTTTGTTCACTGGTTTGCTCATTGGGTGACTCAAGGGCATTTATGGAGGTCTTGCACTGGTGCAGCCCTTGGGTAGGCCTGGAGACCTTTGGTTTTTACTTTGGCAATCTTATGGCATCCAGAAAGGGAAAAAAAAATAAAAAGAATGGGGGCTGGAGCAAATGCACAGCAGGTAGGGCATTTGCCTTGCATACATACGGCCAACCTGCGTTCAATTCCCAGCATCCCATATGGTCCCCCGAGCACCGCCAGGAGTAATTCCTGAGTGCAGAGCTAGGAGTAACCCCTGTGCATCGCTGGTGTGACCCAGAAAGCAAGAGAAAAGAAAAGAAAAAAGAAAAGCATGATGGTCTTTGTGGTGGGCACTTTCTGCCTTTTCCTTTTCCCCCTTGAGTGAGGCACCGTGGTTTACAGCACTGTCCCTGACAGGGTATCATGCATTTCGCTTTCCCTCCCTTCAACATCCAGCCCTTGTCCAGAGTGACCACTACCCTCCATTGTTATCACAAAGGAAAAGGTTTCTGTGGCAGAGGTAGGCTGGGGGCCAGGAGGCAAACTGGGGACATTGGTGGAGGGATGTGGACACGGGTGAAGGGATTGGTGTTGGAACATTGTGTACCGGAAACCCAGTCATGAATAGTTTTGTAACTTTGTCACTCACGGTTGTTTAAAGAAAAAAAATCAGGAAAAAAAACAAACCAATTAATGCTCTCCTATCTTAATTTTTTTGTAGTTGTTTGGGGAGGGGGAGCAGGGAAGGGGAGAGAACCCTACTTAGGAGTTACTCCTGGCTCTGCACACAGGGGTCATTCTCTAGAATGCTCAGGGGTCCATATGGGATGCCAGGGATCAAACCCGGGTTGGCTGCATGCAAG